CGGCAGAATAACATGATATTCTGTTGTCTCTAAGGGTTTCCCGAAGGGACCATGGTCTTTTGGACTTGCGGGAAAGAGTAGCGTATTTGAAAACGAAATTTTCATTGTAACTGCAGCTTTCACACATTTGAGATTGGCTTTGTTTTTCAGCTTTTTGTAAACTTCAAGTGTTTCTCTTTTTCCACTTTGAATTCTATTAGGCCGCTGCATCCAAGAGACATGACCAAAACAGCAGAACTCCCTCAAGAAGTTCGCGAAGCAGTCGTGAGCATGAGGTCATGGAGGTCACCGAAATAGCGAGGATCCTGAAGCTCCCACATCAAACCGTTTTTTCACTTCTTCAGCGGTATCAGGTCAGGCAATTCGTGTGTAATGTCCAGAGAATGGGGAGACTCGAAGTACCATGGATAGGCAAGATAGAAGGATCATGCGCTGTTCGATGTTCGATCCTCGTCTCATCGCGGTCGACATTGCAGAGGAATTAAATGAAAGTGATGGCATCAACATTAGTAGGCAGACTGTGGGAAGGCGCCTAAGTGCTGCTGGACTGAACGGAAGGCGTCCGGGGAAAAACCGTTCATCACAGCGAAGAATAGAAAAGCTCGAGTCGAGTTCGCGCGCCGACACCTTGCACGGACTTCGGCCGAGTGGAGCAAAGTACTTTTTACGGATGAAAGCAAGTTCAATCTGTTTGGAGGTGATGGTATAAAGAACGTGCGACGTCCATAAGGTGAACGGTTTAATTCCAAGTATCTTAGGCCCACAGTCAAGCATGGCGGGGGATCGGAGATGATCTACAGTGTTTACCTCGCGGAATGGCATGGGCCCTATTCTAAGAGTAAATGGAGCGATGACGGGCAGAAGCTACGGGGACATGACGGTGAATGATGTGCTGCCGTGGGCACAGCAGAACATGCCTGATGGATGGATTCTGCAGCAAGATAACGATCCAGTGCACACATCGGGTACGTGAAGGCAGCCTTTGATGATCAAAATGTCAGACTTCTCGACTGGCCAAGCCAGCCTCCAGACCTGATTCCAATAGGGCACGTATGGGAAGAGTTTGGTAGGCTGTGTTCTAAGAGGCCAGCCAGAAATAAGTATGAGAAATTTGCTTAGTTGATTAGGGAATGGAATGCAAAACCGTCGACTTTCATACAGACTAATCGATTCAATGCCTTCTCGCTGTGACGCTGTAATCAAGAATCACGGTTATCCTACGGAGTATTAGACTGTTCGGGTTTTTCTTGTATCTTTGAATGTTAGTTAAACGATTTTTCTTGAGCTTATTTTCTGCGTCTTTTCCACTGGAATTGAGTTTTTTCTCTATAAAATACCGCAAACCAAAATAGCTGGCAGCTAGGTACTGCGAAATATTGATATTATGGTTTGGCATGACATATCTAATTTTCATATAATTTGAATGAGCAGAAAAGAAGTTATGATTAAAAATGTGTTCCGCCGAATACTTGAGCGCTACTGTACGTACACACGGGTTCAAGTCTCGTTCGACGTCGGAATTTTGCTCCATACTCGTCATTTCTGTCAGATTAACAGGTGGTTCCTTCTTCTAACACGGCGCCCAGGATGTCAACTTTTATTCATTTTCGTTGCCATCGAATGGCGCAACTACTTCTCTATTATGTGTCTAGTGGGGCACAGACAAAGATTCTGAAGATGTTGCTTAGTTCCCTTCCACTTTTTCGATGACCATGATTCTACCCTTCCGTTCAACAACCCAATCACTGCGTCACCTCTACAGTCACTCAAATTCTTAGAAAGGTTCAAAACAATTATCAATAGTTCGCTTTCATGTGCCGGTTACCTGAAACTTACCAAACTAACAGAAAGAATGATGAGCACTAGTCACCGATGGTCCACAGAATTTTCTACGACCGCTGGAGAGATCTTTCGGAGGATTCCCAAGAGAAAATTCGGACACACACACACACACACACACACACACACACACACACAC